ATGTACAGAGACTGATGGTATCGGGGCTGCAACAACTTATCGACTAAGTTGATTAAAATCGATGATGGAAAATGTTATCAACGTTTTCCATCATCGATTAGTCAGCTTTCGATTAGTTGCCCTGGTTTGCGGCTCCACGCGCATTGCATGCTTCACGCCGCACCTCCTCCCCGTCTCTCCCAGCTCTCTCCCGCTGCTGCCCGCCAAGATGATCACGTAGTTGCAGGGAAACTGCAGTGTGGGGGACCGGCAGTCCCAAGATCTTGGGGGAAGAAAGGAAAGTTGCTTGAAGAGTGTGCAGGTAAGACTACCTGTTCCTCCCCCCCCACCCCCCCCCCCCCCCCACTACCCACAGAACGCTTTTATTTATTTCTCTTTGACTTATTTTCCTCATCTCATTTTCTTTTATGCTTTTTCTTTTCTTTTTTTTGTTACCTGTTATTGTTTGTTGCTCAATAGCAGAACACTTCTACTCTTTGGAGGTCTTACCGGACTTATCATCATCCAGTCCATTAGCGACTCTGTTCCTGGTATTGCATTGAGACTCTAGATACCCTCCTTCAAGATTTTTTTGTTGTTAAAGCTGTTGATCTGAGTTTATTTTTTTACAGAAAATAAAGCCAGCACCATATTTTAGTGACACCGTGCCCACTATTTAGCACTTTTACTAGGACACATTTTGAAAAGGAGAAATGTTTCTATTGAAAAAAAAAGGCTTTAATCAATAAATCAAAATTACAGTGTATCAATTCACAGAAATTGCACAGACTTGAGGCACACTATGTAAGGGGCTTTTTTAGGTAGTATTTTATTTTGAAACCAAAAATTAGAGTGCACTGTGCAAGCTATGGCCAGTAAACCAGTTTGGACACCCAATAGTCTTTGGCGTCTAAACTTTACCTTGAAGAGTGAATCATATGGTTTATGCACATTTTTTCAATTACAGGTGCAGAACTGGACGTGTCTAACCTCTGTTTTTCCCTTTAGGCCTGTCTGACATTATGAGTACAGAGGATTGCCTAATTTTATCAGCATCTATGGCAGTAGGGGAATTGAGGATTTGCTGCTTCGGTGCACTTAAATGTATTGCACAAGTATGTGATGATGTGCTGCAAACAAAGGGCAACCTTGCCTGTGTCAGTTCACACTGCTGACCCCAAAAGAAAAAGAACCTACCAAAATTATAAAAGAGAAATGTGAAAAAATAAAGCACCAAAAACTGCAAGGGTTGCCCAGCAGCTAAACAGCAACTGAAGTTGTTGTTGTTGAAGTTGTTGCAGACACACACAAAAAGTTCTAGAAAGGAGTTGGATCTGTGATTCACTGTAATGTAGCACTATACAGCACTTGGTATAGCATTTTTCTACAGAACTGTATAGAATAGCAGCAACTATTTCTCCCTACAAGCACAGTGTGATTTCTCTCTATCTACTCCAAGTCTCCTGATTGTGTATATGACTGACTTATATATAGCAGTTTTCAGCTGCAGCATTGCTGTATAGTGGTAGCATAGTAGCAATTATCTCTTCCTCTAAATACTTTGTGATCTATCAGTATCTGTCACAGGTCTGTCTAAAACACAATGAATGTATGTGGCTCACTGTAAATATAGTGGTTTTAGCAATCAGCAGCAGTAGCAACTAGCTCTTCCTGCAAAGACTCTGTGAAATATTCCTATCTGCTCTAGGTCTGTCCAACACACAGTGAGTATGTTTGCGACTTACTTGATGTCTCCTCCAACAGACAAAGAGGACAAAAGTCTGTTGGGAACCTGGACTTTTATTGACTTTGGCTGGGAACCATGACTTTTATATTGAGGGGGCCGGCACATAAGAAAACCCCCATGCTTGGACCTTCTAAGCCATCTGACCACAGTTCTGAGGCCAGGAAGTGCTTTGTTGGTAATAGGTTGCTATAAATGCAAAACGGACGCAATAGTTTGTGGTTTTCTTGAACTACGAATGAAGACTGAAATTCCTATGTTCCACGGCTCCATCTAGTGGCTATAATATGGTGCAAAAATGAAATTCAAATTTTCGCAGAGCATTTGGATATAAAATAAGGCAGACCCTTCTATTCCATGAAGCAAAAATATTTTTTTAAGAAAAAAATAAATTATGAATATCCAAAAAATGTTATAAAGTTTATAAAATCTGCGCTTATGGACAGTGAAAAAATGTGTCTAAATACCCAATGTTAAAGCAGCTGTACTTAGGACACTAAGGTCAAGTAGTGTATATAGTAAATGTGCAGCGCTCCGGGTCACCAATCAATGGACTGTACCTATTAAAAACTGAGGATTAAAAAAGCCTCTAAAGAGTGAACTGCCAGTTTAATTATCCTGGTGGCAGCTCATGAAAAATAAGGTGCAGAGTCTCTATTCCGTGCAAACGTGCATATAATCTATATTTGAATGCATATATCCCACAATATTTAACACAATTTAAATGTGGATATAAACGCTTTGTGCTAAATAACATCAAACGTGATGAATAATAAATAAAGTGCATCAAAATTATCCCAACTTAATAGTCCATAAGGAGTTGCAACATAAAAATTTTGCGACAAAAAATTAGTAATATAGTGTGTCCAAATATAAAGTTTTCTTAACCCCCTTCGTGACTGACGACGTACAGTGTACGTCGCCAGCATCGGGGCTGTTTAAACAGACTCAATAATAATCCAAAAAGTGTTCTTACACACTATATTTTTTGTCGCAAATGTTTTTTTGTTGCACCTCCAATTGGAAGAGGAGGAATTATGTAATTGTATAAGGTGCATATTTTCACAGCCACTATCTAGGGATTGCTAGAGATGTTATAAACAATAAAGTACTTACAACAGCCTTTATGCACAGGTACTGTTAGATGGGGTTGCATAAAGAATAGCAGATGTCACCTCAAATAAACTTAACAAGTATGATTTACCTGATAGAAATAAGTTGCATATGATATTTATGTCTAAGTATACACAGTATATAATTATCCAATACATAACATTTGTTTATAGGTAAGGCATAAAATCGGTTTTAATTACTGTACTTACTTTGCAAGGTTGTTCAGGCCATTGAGACTGTCTGCATCAACTTTTGCAATTTTGTTACCATCAAGATGCAGCTCAGTTAGAGAAGTTGGCAGACCTAAACAAAAAAAGAAAGTAAACCACATCAGCTGGAATTAATGTATGTACCGTTTTAAAAGCCCATTAAATCTACATCAAAATTTACTAGGGCTTGTGAAAAGTAATTCCCTGGAATTCACAAAGAGTGCCGTAGACATTCACAAGAAAACTTTCTAAAGTTCGTGTGACAGATGTTGCAATTAGCAACAGATTCATGTACCTGTGGGAGACATGTACATTAGTTTGTCGCATGGAGGTATGTGAGGGAAGGCACTGAGGTTGAAATGTCCATATTTTTACATGTTTGGTCCCCGGGCTGCACAGTGCCATTGGTCGCTGGAACACTGTTGGCTACATAGCATCATTGGTTACTAGGTTGCTGTTGGCTGTGCAGAGTCCTAGCAACCAATGACACTGTGCAGCCAACTACTCAACCACTTCCACTATCAGATCTCTACAACATCAAGAATAATCATTCACAAACAGTATGCAACTTTAAAGTGTATGGAAAGCCTATCAATTAACTTTTGTTTGCTCAATTTTGGGTTAGTTAAATATACAGTTGGAAGCATTTTGTTATATCTTGTCGAAAATCCATAGCTGTCCTGTGTCCTCTGCAAACTTCCTATATTATATCAAAGAGCCCTCCTAGTTTTAATTGTGCACTGCAGAATGATTATTCTTGATGTTGTAGAGATCTGATAGTGGAAGTGATTGAGTAGTTTATGTGGTTTGACATCACTTTTCCATACTTTTATGTTCCAATGCTCAAAGTGTAATCTTTAACCAATGTTTTTAGTATTTGTTTTGGACAGATTTTCAATAAAGTTTTGGTTCCTGATGAGCAAGACCTCTTTTAGGTTCTGCCACAGAGATGGTGATCACTGAGATCCAAAGGGCATAATTTACTATAGTAAATAAATCCAAGAAAGGTTAAATTGTTCTGGTATGCTTGCATCACAGTCTTGCATGTGTGTACATATATATTGTATGTGCGCACATAGTTATTGAAATCACCGATTGTATAGATTGTACACTGATTTTCAAAGCAGATGGTGTGGCCTTAGACCAGGTAGCAATGTGGCAGTGTGGCTTCTATGTATATTTGCAAATGAAAACTTATACAGCACCTAATGTGTAAACCTCTGTGTATGCATACAAGGAACTGAAAAGTACAGTACTCATCCAGGTGTAGTTCACTGAAGCTTTTTTGATAGATGTTCTCACAAGATACGGTTTTATCCATGTATGGCTTGTTAACAGCAGTTACATAAACCCTAAAACATTACAGAAAATCAAGGAAATACATTTTTTTTACACATGCCATGGCTCAGCTAGCATATGTTCAGATGCTGGAGTGTACATTTCATAGCAAATCTTCCTTGTTAGTAAATTCTATGCATACACGCTGTAGTCTGCAAAGCTGATTTACTAAAGTATTTGGGAATGATTACATAGTAAATTGTGTGAATATTCATTTCAGTTATTCCAGGGCATAGCACATATAGCCCACTTGAAGGGGGGGGGCACTGCTCCATGGGTCAGCAAAACTTTGCCAACCCACAGAGACAGCTGACTTTTTTTTCACTCTGGCAGGCGTCCTTCCGAGCTCCTGGCAACCAGTGACATAACTACCAGAAGCTGGGCAGGGCGCCATAGGCGCATTTTATAGTAGATACACTTCTGTGTGCGATGAGGTAAGTAAACAGGAATGGTTTTCCATATGATTGTATAATTGAAGTGAGTCTCAACACATTTTATTGTGTGAATGTTCTCAAATCCTTTAGTAAATCAGCCTCAGCGTGTGCACATTCTCAGGCACCACAGAACACAGTCAATTCCGCAAACTTATGATTGGCTTCTTTGCACATGATAGATGCGCCACCATGTACACATACAATATCCTAAAGTAAATTGGGCTAATTGTGAGGGGAACAGGCACCCTCTCAAAAGTTTTAACTCTTTTCCTTACTCTGTCCAGAATTTTAAAAAATGTGAACGGTGTGTGAATAATATTTCTGAGTGAATATGTAAAAGAAAAATGAAACAACATAAAGGTTCTGTAATGAAATCATATTTTTATACATGTATGATTTCCTTTACAGAAACGGTTTTACTTTGCATAGAAAAAGCTATGTCTGTATTTTTATGTTTACATGCATAAATATATTTAAAATGTTAGAAATAATTTTATTTCTCTAATGTAACTGATCCTCCATCCATTTTAGCTTTTAGTGTAATTGGAATCTGCCAGGATAGACATACAGGAACTGTTTCTGCAGGTCTTTGATCTGGAGCTGTCATCCTTATCAAGACAACTGCTCTGTGCATACTTGTTCCAGGTCAGTAAGCCAGCAAGTACTAAAGAAAGCAGAAAGGTGACAAACCTTAGGGGTCTATTCACAAAGCTGCCGAAGGATCTGGCCGTAGCTTCGGCCGATCCTTCGGCTGGCTTCGGCCCCAGGACCCCTTCGGTTCAGGAGAACCGAGGGGGTGCTGTACGGGCTATTTACAATAGCCCGTACAGCTCCCGATCACGGCCGAGCAGCTCAGTCGAGCGCTGAGCCGTGCTGAAAGCCGAAGCTGGCCGAGCGGCCGGCCATTGGCCGGCCGACAGCCTGCTTCTGACAGCTGGGCGGAGCCAGCCGTGATCTTACGGCTGGCTCCGGCCACTTTCAGAGAGATCAGCGTCCCTGGTTGCTAACCAGGGACACTGATCTCCAAACATCTAACTCTCCCTGGCGCCCCGGGAGTCTCCTGCTCCCGGCCGCCAAGGAGAAAAACCCCGCTGTGTCTTTTTTCTTTATTCTGACACGGAGCGATGTCAGAATAGAGAAAAAAAAAAAAAAAAAAAATTCCCATTCAAAAGCATTGGGACATTACTATTGGCTATTTCAATTTCAATAGCCAATAGTAAACTAGCATTGTACCCGCCCTCTTTTGCAGTTCCCCATCAGGTCCATCAGCAGAGGGCGGGTACAATGCTAGTTTACTATTGGCTATTGCAAATTGAAATAGCCAATAGTAAACTCCCAATGCTTTTGAATGGGAATTCGTCTTTTTTTTTTTTCTTTTTTCTGACATCGCTCGTGTCAGAATAAAGAAAAAAAAAGACACAGCGGGGTTTCTCTTCTTGGCGGCCGGGAGCGGGGGGCTCCCAGAGCGCCCGGGGGATTTTTTTAATTTTTTTTTTTTTACAGCAGCAGAGCCGCCGGACAATAGGAAACTATTGGGCGGAGCTAGCTGTCACTGCTAGCTCTGCACAATCGTTTTCTATTAACTTTTTTCACTCTTTTTCTGTTCTGCTCGGTGCCTCTGAGGGACCGAGCAGAATAGCCGAGCCAAATGCCGCTCGGCGGCATTCGGCTTTTCTCAAACTGCTGTTCGGGATCTTTCAGAATAGCCCGAGCAGCAGTGTGAAGCCTGCCGGAGGTTCGGCTCAGCCGATCCAGATGTTGGATCGGCTGAGTCGAACTCCTTCTGCACTTCAGGTCAGCCGAACATGCTAAGCATGTTCGGCTGATCCAAAGCCACACGAAGCAAGCCGATGAAGTGAATAGCCGAACAGTGTTCGGCTCACTTCACTTCTGATCGGTCATTCACTCAGCTGCCCTCGGGAGTGGGAGGGGAAATGAATAGGAAATGTACAAAACTATGATTTCTGCAATCAAAAAGAGATTAAAGGTGAACTCCAAACAAACAGATAAATACACAGAAGGGAATTTTATCAAAACTGGAGCAGACAAAATCTGGAGCAGCTGTGCATGACAACCAATCAGCCTCTCTCTCATTTTCAAATCTTAACTGCACAAACTGAAGAGAGAATCTGATTGGTTGCCATGCAAAGCTGCTCTAGATTTTGTTTGCTCCAGTTTTTATAAATCCCCCCCACGGGGTTTAATCTGCAACAGGATGTCTCGTTCACGCTGGAATTTATTGGTATTTATATAGCGCCGACAATTTACACACATTCACATCAGTCCCTGCCCTCAATAAACTTGCAATCTAAAGTCTTTGGTGGGGGGTGTGGCCAGCGCTTGAGACGGATGGCTGCCTGAGTTAGAGCTCCGTGCTCTAGACGGTAAGGAGGGCCCTGCTTGTGAGGACTTACAATCTAAAGCACAGGAAAAACATGCTAATCCCTCAATGGGATTTGAACCTGGGACACCTAGTGCTGCAAGGCAGAAGTGCTAACCACTACAGCACGGTGCTTGACACACCTGCAATTATTTGCCCTTCTATGTAGTTATAGGATATGTAATTATGTGCAGCTAGTCTTGTGATCTAGGCATCTTTGCCAGACAGCAGAGACACTCATTCAACCTCTACTGCAGCTGCATTGCTGGTTAAAAACACCCCCAGCTTACTGGCTGGAAATATAAACAGCAGTAGTGATGAGTTCACCTGTCTTTTTATTCCGCTCTCTCCTCCTGTCAGTGGGCTGCATGTCAGCACATGTGCATGCAGCAGAGCCTGCTTCAGAGTGCTGCTCATCCCTCTGCCATTTCTTAAAATGGTGCGTAGACGTATTATGTTTTTGTTTAATTGTTTACACTAAGCCTTATCGAGTATTGGTTCTACCTTGCATTCATGTCTGTTGATGTTTAATTGAAGTGTTTTAAATACATGTTGCATTGCATTGTGTTGCGCTGAAAAAAAGTTGAGCCTGTTCTACTCTTATTCAGCGCAGGGAAGCGGACATCAATGCAAGGCACTGGGGTGAACTTCTCCCATTCACACCCATCCATTTTCAGATGTTCTTGCATTGGCATCCATTGAAAAACAGATGCCAGCACATCTGGTGTGAATGGGGCCTAAGAAGTTAATGACATACTCAGTAAAGAGCATCAGGGAATGTAGATTTCTAATGACTGTCCTTGATGAGTATCATTTATATACATCCTTGAGTGACACCCTTCAGACAAAGTGAAAAATACTGAGGTGTGAACTGCTTAGGGTCAAAATTCAGACGCATTTATGGAAACTCCCTTTCTATTCATCCAATAAACAGATCAGACAGCTGTTGAGATTAAGAAAGTTTAGAATTCACTCCAACTATGACCGCATAAGAATGTCCTCAAAAGACTTTTACTGGCTATCAATCAGCTAATTCATAGGAAATAGAATGGCCATCAAAATAAACTCTTTATTTATACAAAGCCAAGGCCAGCATCTCAGCACATTTTATTATAATTTTGCATTTGGAAACTGATTTTTTTCCTATGGTTGCTTCTCCTTAATACAGCTTATTCACAATGTCTCCACAAGTAAGTTATTTAACTTAGATTTAACAGAGAACTATAGCCAAACCTTTTTTGGACTTTAGTTCTCTTGTAGGTCACAGGAGTAGGTTTACTAATGCCCTCCTGTGACCCAAAGTCAATATATATTGGGCTACATCCCTCTATATGCCACACTGCAGCAAGGAAAGATCGCAACAATATTGTCAGTTTCACCCACTGCCTAATTGACAGCTGGCTCTGCCTCTCTAGAGCCAGAGACAGCTATTCCAGCCCCCTCCTGTCTGTCCCTCCAATAAGTGTTGGAGGAAAAGAGAGAGGGGAGGGAGGGATCCCTGTGGGGAGAAGTGACTGACAGTCACCACTGTCTGCAAGGAGAAACCATGAGCTGATCTGATCCATCAGCCATTTGTGATCACTTAGGGGTCTATTCACAAAGCTGCCGAAGGATCTAGCCGTAGCTTCGGCCGATCCCTCGGCTAGCTGCGGTCCCAGGACCCCTTCGGTTCAGTAGAACCGAAGGGGTGCTATACGGGCTATTCACTATAGCCCGTACAGCTCCCGAACGTGGTCGAGCCGAACGCACATGCATCGGCTCCGCTGGCGCACGGCGGCAACACGAGCGGGGCGAAACGTGGTCGAGCCGAACGCACATGCATCGGCTCGGCTGAGCAGTGCTGAAAGCCGAAGCTGGCCGAGCGGCCGGCTATTGGCCGGCTGACAGCCTGCTTCTGACACCTGGGCGGAGCCAGCCGTGATCTTATTTTACATGCTCACAAAGCATGTAAAATAGCAGTTTAAACATTCTTCTTTTAGTGAGCTTTAATTCCAGATGTTTTTCACTTTGCTGTCCATGTAAAATGCACTTCACAGTATCTATCAGCAATACTGTATATCACTAGTTAAGAATTAAGGTTTTCCCAAAATATTTTACCACTCTTTAAGAGTCCCTTTTTATTTTATGTACAGTACATCTCTGCAATGCATCCACATTTCCCCATGTTTAATCCTTTTAAAGACCCTGCAAGTGCAGCCTTTTGAAGGCTGTTAGAAATAGACTAATAAAGCACAGCATTTTTGTAGACTGAGGTGTCCCTTCTGCCCAATGTCTTTTGCTAAATTACTCAATCACTTCCACTTTTAGATCTCTACATTATAAAGGCTAATTATTTTATAGTCCAAAATAGGAACTAGGAGGGCTTTTGATGTAACAGAGGATGAGTGCAAAGGATTCAGGATAGCGCTAAATTTCCGACATGATCAGCAGGATTTTTTGCACTTAATAAATAGATATAAACAAATGCTTGTAATGATGATTTGCTAATCCCTTTTTATTAGAACTTGTTTATTTAAAAAGTTGTTTCTATTATATTAAGTTTTTACATATATTTCACAATTTTCCTCTAGAAATAAAACAAATAGGGGTTTCCTGTAAGCCTTCTATCACTTTGCAATGAGAAAGACAAAAAAGCAGCGCTACAACCCAAATATTTATGATCCTTATTGTGTATATTCATGAATGAATAGCAGTATTTTACGAGATGAAAGTATCTGCAAATATTAGTAATCAAAATACTCACTGTTGGATGGACCAATGGATGGTACTGACAGCTTAGGTCGCGATAAGCTCCTGTGTTATGCCGCCATGTGTACGAACAAGTTGTGCACTGGGGATGATATTGCAGTCGGGAGCCGTGGGTACTCAGCTGGCCAAGCTGAGACCCCCTCGGCACAAACGGAGATACCGCTCCACAGAAGTGGAGAGCTGTCGGCAACCAATGGGTGTAAATTGCCCACACCAGAACACTTGGTACAGCAATGTTCGTGTTACAGTTCCAAGTGGGAGGCGTTCCGAGCGGGAGGCGTGTATGTGCTGCCATTGACATGAATGGCACCACCACGCCCCCTCCTGCCCCAGAATGTGGGAGGCTTGGTTCATGCCAGAAAGCACTGGATGTGGTGTGAACTGGCCCTGAAGACAGCAATAGCTGTGTATGAAAATAAGGCACTGCAAGCTGTGAATGGACAATGGATAGATCCTGTCACTGCGCCTCTGGAAGTAACTTAGATTTAACTGTGTTCATTACTATAGAAATCACATAATTGGCAAAATGAAGCAAGTAGTCTAAATGTTCATTATGTGGACAATTAAACTTTTTCATGAATAGAGCTGTGAGTGTCACAATAGCAGGAAATTTCCTCTAAAGTATATCTAAACCTCACCACAAACCTTTTTCATTTATTTTCATCTGGTGATCCTGCCAGTAACACACTTCCTGTCCTATGGCGACAATGTTCACTCACTATACTTCATCTATGGACTAGCAGCATTGTCATCCTAGGACAGGAAGACACCTTCCCCTTGCCTTGTCTCCACTGCATGGAGCTGTTCTGTAGTTCCAAAGCTGTCACATAGGCAGGACTGATAACATTGTTTATGATGTTAATGCAGCACAGGCAGAATGCACGGGATGCTATAGGCTCACTGGATTTCTGGCAGGATTAACAGGTATTGTTTTGCTCCTATCAAACAAATATTACAAAACACTTTCAATAGTATATTTAACAGATCAAAAGGGAGCAAATAACAGAAGTTCATTGTTTTGAGATTACATACACTTGAAGATGTTGCATGTGTTATCTGGTAAAATAATAGAAATATAAGAAAAATGCTGTAGTGTTTTCAATATTTTATTTTTCTTACCTTTAGGGACGTTGGTTATATTAGTGTCTGCAATTCGGAGGTAGGATAGTTTCTTCATGCCTTGAAAAGCTCCTTTTTCAATCCCAGAACTATCTATTGGATTTGTGCCCAGTTCTGTGAAAAAATAATGCAGTTTTCATTGATTTGTCTCAGTAGCTGTAGGAACATATCCTATCCATTCTCACTGTACTACAAACATAGCTCATAACTCCTAGCAAAATTTATCATCAGCTAATATTCTTCCCGCAATCTTTTAAGATTATCAATTTTCTACAGTATTTTCTCCAGGATGAGCACAAAATTAGATAACATGTTATAACTATTTAGGAAAATAAAATAGAACAATGCTGAATAAACACAAATGTAACACATTCAGATTACCATACAACTATAAAACAGAAAAATGAAATAATATATATCTGTTACAAGGGATAAAATATTTATCCCAATTATTATTTAAAATTCATTAAAGAACCTGCTAGGAAACCATTCATTAGTGATCTTTACAAAAGCCAACATATATCAGGGTTATTCACAAAGCTACCGAAGGCAGCCGAGTGAATAACCGACCTGAAGTGAAGTGAACCGAACGCTGTTCGGCTATTCACTTCAGGCTTGTACAGCTGATTTCAGCCGTACATCGGTTGAAATCAGCCGTACATCGGCTTGCTTCACATGGCTTCGGGTCGGCTGAACATGCTCAGCAGGTAACCAGGGGACGCTGAACTGTCATTACAATGAGTTACCTGGTAACTAGGGGACGCTGATCTGTCATTGCAAGTGGCCGGAGCCAGCCGTGAGATGAAAAAATAAAGTGTATGTATAACCAAAATTTTTTTTTAGTTTTGGATAGAGTAGTTAAAACTGCCTATACATACACCAAGGCATAGGAATAAAGCACCGCTCCTCCATGGCTTTAGCAAGGAAAAGACAGGCGGGTCCTCGTCTGCATGAGTATGTCCTGACTCCAACAAAACAGGTATACAGCAAAGGAAGTATCCAGACACACTCCGTTCCATTAGTGACACTGAGGCCTGCCCGTATTCTTGTTTACTATATACATAAATTTTAATCAGTTGTGGACATTGCTACACACAAAACAAAAATCTACATCAAAGTACACAGGGCATGTGTAATACCTTCACACTTGCCCGCAATCTCTGGCTGTCCAATAATAGTAAGGAGTTGCTGAATAAATACAGAAGCTGTAGAGGCTGTCTGACACAGTGACAGTGTTATAAATACTGTTTAGACTTGAAATAGAATGATACAAAGAAACATTGTAACTTTTTTAGCTACTCTGATTCATGTATCGGCAGATAAAAGGGATGAGCTTCATTCGGCATATGATATCATTTTTTAAATTTATTTCGGAACCAAATTCAGTTCATTATTCAGAATTCGGATTGATTCGATTTTTTGTTTTTCTTGAGTCCGGATAAATCCAAATTTTGTGTTTTCAGTTCAGATCAATTAAAATCGTATGGGATGGAATTTATTATGTTGTTAAACATGAAAATTAAAAAAAAAAAAACAGCATGGGCTGTTCCCCCCAAATTCCTACCAGACCATTTAGGTGGGCAGAGTGTTTCACTGAGGAGGGCCCCCTGCCAAAGCACCTTGTCATCCTGTTGATGAGGACAAGGGCCTCTTCCCCACAACTCTGACCCAGTGGTTGTGGGGGTCTGCAGGCAGGTAGGCTTATCTGAATCTGGGTGTCCCTTTATGAAATGGGGCACCCAGATGCCACCCCAACTCATGAATGAGTAAGATGTAGTTGTTACCCCTACTCATTCACCAAATAGTAAGACAGTATATAAACACACCACTCTGGTTTTGAAAGTCCTTTATTAGTAAATAAACACACCACACAGTTTTAACAGGTCCTCTTTAAAAAAAAAAAAGTCCCACGATGTAAATCCATCATCAATCGCGTCATCCAGCAATATAGATCCTTGTCAATCACAATGCCAGCCGCTCGCCAACGCGAAGAAAGAAAAAATCCCTGGTGCCTGCCGCTTCGTCTGCAACTGACGAATTCTCGTGAATTCAAGTGACAGTTCTGCTCCGTGAAACAAAGAAGAGGAGTGACTCAGTGGTGGCACTGACTTTGTTTACATTCTATTAGGAAATAGGGAGCTGTCATTTGCAGTGAGAGTTTGTCCGGTGCGGATGTGGTGGCAGGCCATGAAAAGGGGCCCCTGCCCACAGTCCCCCACAACCACTGAGCCAGGGTTGTGGGGAAGAGGCCCATGTCCTCAGACCTAAAGAGTCCGGTATGAATCTTCACTTTAACAACACAGTTCATTCCAAATGACATTTGGATGCAACCAAATTGTCGATTGCAACGAATTGGAATTCGTTATTGTTGGCATTCAGAAATGTGGACACATTTGAATTCGAATATTCAGATGCATCCGAATTTCTGAAAGGCAACAATAACGAATTCCAACGTATCCACATTTTTTGGTTTGAATTTCAATTCGTAACAAAACAAAACTTACAATGTATCATGTAGTCTATGTTCACACTGTTTGCGGTGACCTGCATTATTCTGAATAGGAAAAACACAGGTTATCACTAAAACACAAAAGGGGTTATTCACAAAACTGCAGAATGCAGCCGAGTGAATAACCCAGCCGAAGTGAAGCGAGCCGAACACTGTTCGGCTATTCACTTCTGGCTTGTACAGCTGATTTCAGCCGTACATCGGCAAAAATCAGACGTACATCAGCTGTCTTCGGCGGAGCCGAAGTGCAGAAGGAGTTTGACTCAGCCAATTCAACATCTGGATCGGCTGAGCCGAAGCTCCGGCAGCTCACTCGCTGTCGTTCCCCCTATTCTCACAGGGGCCGAACGGCAGTAAGTGACAGCTAGCTCCGACCAACTGTTTCCGATTAGCCGGCACCTGCCAGAGTCTTCTAGCAAGTCCTAGGCAATGAATAACAACTGGGTGGAGCTGGCCATGATGTCATGGCTGGCTCTGCCCAGTTGTTGTTGTTTAATGACAGATCAGCGTCCCCAGGTCATTTGGGGACGCTGATCTGTTATTACAACTGGGCAGAGCGAGTCGGGAGATCACGACTGGCTCCGCCAAGCTGTCATTTGCATGAATATCAGTCGGTTTCGGCCGACCTTTCTCCATGCTTCGGCAGTCACTTCGGCTCAGCCGAGCCAAAGCATATGCCTTCGGCTCGGTTGAGCCGCTCGGCTGCCTTTGGCTGCTGTACGGGTTTTTGTAAATAGCCCATACAGCAGCCCTTCAGTTCGATTGAACCAAAGGGCAGAGGTGGCTGAAGAGAGCCAAAGGATAACCTGAAGCTAAGGCTGGATCCCTCAGCTCCTTAGTGAAAAACCCCGATAGAAAACAGATTTGTTTTTAATTGTTCTATTTAAACCACGACCCTGGTGCACTACAGCAAAATGCAAACATGCTACATTTGTTTGCAGTACACTGAATGGAACTGTATGGTATTGCACCACAGTGCAGAACAATGAGATACTGTGCAGAGACATGACTGGGGTGTACACATTGTACACTCACAAAAAAGTTTTTTGTGAAGATGTGCTGATCAAAGTAGAAAAAAATTGGCTTTAGTTCTGGTTTAAGTAATGACAAAGTTATTGCCAAATAAACAGACCCCTAGCAGAAATGTAAAAAATTGCTCTAGTCCAGAAGAGGTGTAGAGGTGTGAGAGCTGAACTGGTTAAGTACCAGCTATCCATACGGCTTTTTTTCTTTATCATTTTAAAGATTTTAGTGATGGTAAAGTAAAATTAGTGAACACCTATTCTATAGATAATTTTCTATTATGGGATTGGATGCTCACATTAATTCCAGATGATGTAATTATGGAAGGCTACCACCAAAACCTGTTGCATATTTTGTCTACCAAATTTGTGAATGGCTTACCGATTACAATCATGTTATTCAGTCCATCAAACACAGTCTTCTTTACTTTGGTCAACAAGTTCTCATGCACACGTAGCTCTTGAAGTGACTTGGGCATATTAGTTGGAAGCTCTTTTAAGCTGTTTTTGGATAAGTACAGTCTTTCCAGTTTTGGCAGAGAAGCAAAAGCACCAGGACTGATTGACTTGATTTTATTATTAACAAGGATTAATGCCTAAAAAAAGATATGAAACACTTTTAGGAGATTGCATTGAAAGATAAGTCATTAATGGCCTTTATTCTTTAAGCTGCTTTCCATTCCTAACATTCTGTGGGTTCAAATTGCCATCATTACTGTTTGCAAATATACATATAGCAAAATAATTAGCAGAAAAAGGGAAGACTGCAAATATCATTGCAGAATATTGAAAGAAATGAGTCAAACAAAAGGCAATGGTAACATTTTCTAGATCATATCACATGCAGTCTGTTCATTCTAAGTTTATCTCAGAGATCTTAAGGAACATGCATTATCTTTTTGATGTATAATAATAATAAAATATCTCACATGAAGCTGTTTGAGGTTTTTAAAATCATCATCTTTGATTTCCAAAATTTTGTTGTTCTGCAAATCAAGTAAAGTGGTATCAGGAGGAATGTTTTTTGGCACTTGATCCAGCCCTGAAAAAAAGTGAAATGATTTAACAGTTTTGTAATACATTGTTGCAAGCTATTTTTTTTAAATATTGTGTATGCAGATAAACATGAAATATTACATATTAATATTTGTATATACAGCCAACAGGTGGAGCTCTTGACACCATTTCACAAGTTCTTCTGTGTCTTCTTATCTGTTTTATTTGTTACAAAGCTAAATAGCTCAAGCATACATTTACATGCACAAGTGAATGAGTCAGAGCAGAAACTCAACTACCTCACTACACTTGATTTACTAAAGGGGTAGAGGTTGTTATTTTAGAAAAATAAACACACATGAAGCATCAGTATAAACTTAAAGAAATTATGTAAAACAAATTTGACCAATTATAGATTCCCTTTAAAGTTTTGGATAAAGTGAGAAAGAGATAACCACTGTCCTAATGACAAGAAATTTAGAGGAATCTCTAACACATGAAGCAAAAAATTGTTTGGCTGCAGTTCCTCTTTGGAACTGTATACTTCTCTTAAAAAAACACCAATTACCAATTATGCCTAATAATTATCCCTGATGGACATGCTTAAAGTAGTTGTAAACCCTTAATGCATCAATCCTTCCATTGTCATATAATATAATATCCATGCTTCTTGAAATTTTTCAAATGCTAAAAAATTATTCTTCCTATACCTATTTTGATGATATTTCACACTGTCCCAGGACCTCAATTACCCTGCACTCTCCAGCATTGATCGTTGTGCATCGGGCCATCATGATTGACTTGGATTACAACTCTAGACAGCTTGATTGACACTACATTACAATGGAGGACAAAAAAGGGCAGGGATAAAGCCTTTGTCCACATTATTATAGGGACAAGGTGCCAACCTGGATGGGGTGGCTAGGGCCATCCACGCTTTTTTTTCATAAAGGGACAGTACACTTTGTCTGGTTAAAATAGCAGTTAAAGGGTCTGGTATGAATTTTGAGGGGGACCCCAAGCATTTTTTTGAATGTTTTTCTTCAGGGCTTGTGACCTGGTATGGTTCACGAGTAAAGGCACATGCTTGCTCCCCCTACTTTGTTGGTTATGCCGAGGACACAGCGGGGATCGTGGACAAGGTAAGAGACTGTATTCCCGATTGTGGCTCGGGGTTACTGCTTATGGTACTGAAAATTAACCCCGAGCCACACTCGGGAATACCGCCATGGATGTTAGTGGGTGCATTTAAACATTATTTTGGGCTATACTCGTCTTATATGACGAGTATAGCCCAAAACCTATATTTTTTACACAAAAAGTGGGGGGTCGTCTTATACGCCGTCAAATACGGTAATAACTAATAGTAATTTCTGTCCCGGCTGCAGTATTAATCTACCCCAAGGATAATGTATTATTGCTGCATGTAAGGGGGTGATTATTATTGCTGCATGGGGTTTTTTTTTTTAGGGCACTCCGGCTCAAAAAGGTTCGCCATCACTGGTTAGGGGTATTAATGTACCCCTGAACTTTTTCCTGTGGGAGAGGGCGCAAAAATAAATGGCACCACAATTAACTAATATGTGCAATGTAGAGCACATGTGAAGCAATGTGAAAATCTTATCCTGGCCTAAAGCAACCCTGTTGTTAAAATAGAAATGGCAATAAAATATTTTTCTGCATAAATGTAAATACTTATCTCTCCCGGGCCACCAAACATCAAAAAGAAAGGTTATTGCCTGAACTCTCTTTCAAAAGCAACACTTATGGGATTGTCAATCTCCTGGTCCTCCACTGCGCTCTGTGGTTCCTCCTGCCAACCTCTATGTGGGCACAGTGAGGGACCAGGAGATTGACACTCCTGGAAGTGTCAGCTTCTAAAAGGACTCTAGACAAGCCTTTAAATTCATCACAGCAACATTTGGTAGCACAGACAGCAAGATAAGTAAGTAATAACTTTTTTTCTTTGCAGGCACAACAATGTTTTGGCATTTGTATTTTAGCAACAGGCACTTTAATAAAGAAACATTTTAATCAATATACATTTAAATAACAAAGAAAGCTGATATATACAGTATATAGGTTTACAATAATAGATTTAGATTTTATTCTGGTAAATTAATTATTCCCTTCAAGTAAATCAAAATCTAATGACTAAAATCTCATATAAGCCCTAACATGTTAACTTATTTTTTTTTAAACTAACAGGAGAGCAAGCCGTGAAGGTTCTTGTTTAAGTACTTCATCTCATGTCCCCCGGGTTAAGACTAGAAGCACCCAGTTAGTTATACAAAACTGTTGGTTATACAAAGCTAACAACTGTATAATACATACAACATGTGAATTTTTATTGCCTGAAAGTTTGGAGGCTTCAAAAAAGAAAACCTATTTTTCTCTTATTTTATTCTCCTTCTCTATGTGCTTTTTAAACCATAGAAAAACACAGACCACTTCACATTCTAAAGTCTCTTTCTTTCTCCTTTCCAGTAAATTGTTCACCTAAGCACATTGGACATAAAATGAATAGAGGGGGAGTTGACCGTTTTATGACTCTTATGCTAAAAGTATTTCCAAATTAAGCTGAAAGATGAAATGTGAATCCAAGAGCTCTGGAGAACAGATTTCTCATTTTCACCCTGAATGCCAAAAGAACATCAGACAGTTTAAATTAAAAACTCTCAGCGGGACAATTCTATGAAAAACTGATATGTAGCATAGATGAAGTCATGGAAATTAAAACATGTACCAACAATAGTATAGTGTCTTTACCCATGCTATATTTTGTTTTTGATCATGCGTAAAATGCTTTATTTCCATCTTTGTGTAATCTGATATGGCATTTACATTTCGGTTCAGACTAAAACAATGTGGAAATAAGCAAGTAACAGTAAAGGGTTACAAAATACAGTCTAGCTACCTGGGGTTAGCATATGCAGTCAATTAAATTAGCTAGATGTTCGTTCAATACTTTGCCAGTACCATCCCAATATTTTAAAGCCTATTTTCTTTTTTCTAAATTACGCTTGATTTTGTCATGTTACACTATTCGAATCCTGAACTTTTCATATTAAGTGCTTGATTTAGAACAGCCCTAAGTTTAAGCACCCAAAAAAAATATTACAGCTCTTGATAACATTTGCAAAGGACAGTACTGTGCAACAACCCACTGCACATTTTCAGGTATAATAAAATAATGATGTGAACACAAACAGCTTGTTCTACTCAACCTCTGATACCAGCATAGAGCTGGTGATGGTGGAGGTCAGGAGTCCCACCAATGCTCATCACACATCCAAAGGAAATTACCAGCAGCACCGTGGCCATCCAGCCGAGCTGTCATTGTAACCATCCTTGTTGGGGATAGTGTTCTAAATACCTAGAAGCAAACTATTAGCAAAGTAGGTCACAGCTTACACAACCCTTATGGCAGTCTGGTTATAGGTAAACTAATGGACAAACATTAGCGTCCTTTAATAATGGACAATAATAGGTCTTCTCGCACAGGTAGACAAGAACTGCCCACTACGAGACCAATGTGATCTGCATACCATGATCTGCAGGTCTAATCCAGAGCCACCAGGACCACTGGAATCCTCTTGACTTTTTTTCACTGTAGTAGTTGCAACAACAGTCTTACTGGTGTACAAGCATATATTAGCGTGTAGCGATTCCACACGGCTACCAATTCATACACCGCATCTGCCCAAGGGTTCCTGTGCCCTTGCTATGAATCTGTCCATCTTCTGATTGGGATGTGACACCAGAAGATATATATATATATGGCATCCCCCACTGTTGGCAGGTTTTCTGGAAGAGTTCTGATCTTGTGCTTTAATGTTCTAGTGTAGCATTGCCCATAAGGAAACACCTCAAAGGATGCAACTATGGGACTCAAAACTCACATGCATTTTTGAGCACTAGAAGTCTACCCCCCAGCTTGAGATGGACAGGTGGGGGCAAAACTTTGTGTGGAGGAGGGCTTCTCTGCGGACATGGTGTGCTTAGACTGCAAGCTACGCTTGCCCCTGTGGAGGTAGAGGGCCTAAGGGACTTAGATACATTCTTCGAATGCAAATGAAAAAATTGCTCATGGGCTAAAAAGGTAGACCCGATTTGCTACTGGAATCTTTGACTTTCTTGAGCTGACACAGGAAGATACTCTTTCCTTCTGTATGATGCATTCATAGATTAATATATGCACAAGTAAATATTTATTTCACTGGGGGTTAATGTTTAGGGTAAATAGAGGCTACAGGGTTGCCTTTAATGGGGTTACTGTTCTTTTGGGGCCACTGCCTCTTTAAGTGACAGTGGTATGGCACTAAGCAGAGTTCCGGTCAGGTCACTCCCCCCCATGAGGTTAGTGCTGGGAGTTGTTGTGCTTTTGGGGTGCTTGCCTCCTTAAGACTCTGCTGTACTGGCAGTAATTGAAGCCATTGACATGTTCAGTTTATGGCAATCTGCCCTGTGTGACGGTCTAAGGCTCCCGAGGGAAATGCAGAAGCCATAGTGGGCCCTAATTACTGTCTATTTTACTTTTTGCTTGTCTGGCAGTGTGTAAGCCATGGCTCCTGTGAGAGTAGAAGAAGGAATGGCTTACCTGCTGTACATCTGCAGCAAACTTACCAGGCACTACAGTCAGCAACCATGGTGAATGCAGACCACAACCAGATGTAGCCAAGGTGTTGAAAACCTGTAAAGGGGACACTGTGACAGTCCATAAGACTGGCCAGTCATATATTCCCCCAAGTGCAAAAAAAACCTACAGGTTTCCCATTAGAGAACTGGGTAATTGCAGCGGAAACTGCACATGGCAAGGAACTGCATAAGCTCAATGGGTGCAACTGGGGGGTCTACCAAATCTATATTATCTTGCCTGTCACTCAGCCAGTGACTTGCTTGAAAAGTCCAATATATTCACAGGAGGAAAATGATATGTCCTATCTTCTAGATGCTAGAAAAATGTTGATTTGTTCATATCTATGGAGGGGGTTTTGGCCACCAGCAGGGGCTGCCTCCTGTATTTTGTGTTTTAGTGCACCTAGCATCCTACTCTTGCTGTTGGCGATATACCTAATCTATGATTATCTAAAGCAGTGCTGTGTTCTTCAATAATCAAAAGAGAATATTAAAATAAACAAAACAACATTTTAAAAGCTCCAATTTGAATACCAGCTCTTTTCCAAATTAAACTTTCGTGTGCAATCGAAGCAGAACTGTTGCTAAAGCACAAAAAGAAATTGAACATTTTTCTGAAGATAACACACCAACATCAGGCATGCAGACATTGCATTATACAGTATCTCACAGAAATGAGTACACCCCTCACAGTTTTGTAAATATTTTATTATATCATTTCATGTGACAATACTGAAGATGACACTTTGCTACAATGTAAAGTAGTGAGTGTACAGCTTGTATATCAGTGTACATTTGCTGTCCCCTCAAAATAACTCAACACACAGCCATTGATGTCTAAACCGCTGCCAACAAAAGTGAGTACAATATTTTGTGTGGTCACCATTTTTTTCCAGCACTGCCTTAACCCTCTTGGGCATGGAGTTCACCAGAGCTTCACAGGTTGCCACTGGAGTCCTCTTCCACTCCTCCATGACGTCATCACGGAGCTGGTGGATGTTAGAGACCTTGCGCTCCTCCACCTTCCGTTTGAGGATGCCGCACATATGCTCAATAGGGTTTAGGTCTGGAGACATGCTTGGCCAGTCCATCACCTTTACTCTCAGCTTCTTTAGCAATGCAGTGGTCGTCTTGAAGGTGTGTTTGGGGTCATTATCATGTTGGAATAGTGCCCTGCGGCCCAATCTCCGAAGGGAGAGGATCATGCTCTGCTTCAGTATGTCACCGTAAATGTTGGCATTCATGGTTCCCTCAATGAACTGTAGCTCCCCAGTGCCGGCAGCACTCATGCAGCCCCAGACCATGACACTCCCACCACCATGCTTGACTGTAGTCAAGACTCACTTGTCTTTGTACTCCTCACCTGGTTGCCACACGCTTGACACCATCTGAACCAAATACATTAATCCCAGCTGTACCCGCCCCCTCCCCCGTCCGTTCCGCCAGTCAGCGCTGGCAGATCAGAGCAGGGAGAGGGGAATCCAGCCCCTCCCCCTGTCACGGCAGAGAGCCGTGACAGGATCGAGAGGTGAGGGAACCCGGTATGTGTTCCCTCACCTCCCGATCTACTGAGCCGACCTGTGACAGTCTCATTGTCACAGGTCGGCTTAGAACTATGAGGTGAGTGGAAATCACTCATCTCATAGTTCTCCTTTAAACAGCTGTATGGTCTTGGCCACCATGCTGAAGCTCAGTTTCAGTGTCTTGGCAACCTTCTTATAGCCTAGGCCATCTTTATGTAGAGCAACAATTCTTTTTTTTCAGATCCTCAGAGACTTCTTTGCCATGAGGTGCCATGTTGAACTTCCAGTGACCAGTATGAGAGAGTGAGGGCGATAAAACCAAATTTAACACACCTGCTCCCCATTCACACCTGAGACCTTGTAACACTAATGAGTCACATGACACCGGGGGAGAGAAAATGGCTAATTGGGCCCAATTTGGACATTGTCACTTAGGGGTGTACTCACTTTTGTTGCCAGCGGTTTAGACATTAATGGCTGTGTGTTGAGTTATTTTGAGGGAACAGCAAATGTATACTGATATACAAGCTGTACACTCACTACTTTACTTTGTAGCAAAGTGCCATTTCTTCAGTGTCGTCACATGAAATGATATAATATTTATAAAAATGTGAGAGGTGTACTCACTTCTGTGAGATACTGTAGCTGAATCTTCCAACATTCCTCCTATCATGTCTGCATTCATTAAAATCCTTTGGTCAAATATAATAATTTCTTAGTATTCATTCATATGTGAACAGGCTTTTTACAAGCACAAAGGATGTTCACCTATTGTGTTTCTAAGAAACTTTCTTGAGCACAGCAGAACTTTTTGTTTGTACCTAGGGGGAAAGGGAAAAAATTTACAAATGTTTCTAGTTGGTATAAAATGCAGCCAATTGCAATGTTTTAGGAACAATGGTAAACAATATCTCTCCATACAGGCTAATGGTCTTAATATTCCCCCCACTTTAACCCCCTCCCTGCATTAATGGTCAGTGGCAGCGCTGTTAACCACTACCTCACATTGGTGGGGTGGGATTTTACTTATGAGGGTAGGGGGGGTGGGGGTTATCAATGTTTACTTATCAGATCACCTACTCCTGTGCTTCTCTCTTAATGATGTTGGGCCAGGACTACAAGTCTACTGTCAGACATATATCACTCCTTACTGGCTTCATTTTAGCACTGAGTGCAGGAATGCAGAGAACATCCCGGCACCCAGCATACTGCTGCCACTCTGCAAAGTGCCCAACATGCGGCAGGCTGCACAGAGAGAGCTGGCAGGCCACGTGTTGGGCACCACTGACTTAGATTATGGATGTTGTTGATTTTTTAACTGCCTAAGTTTTTCATTTGGCTTCCATGAACTTAGTCCCATGGTTAATTCATTAGTTATTTTTAGCTTAATATAATGTTACAGTTTTATGGTTATTTTTCAGATTAAGTGACACTAAACTCAGAACTTAAACCTTAAAAATGCATTCAAGTACCTTAACTATTAACAAAAATGTATCTTATTTGTGTATAACTCGGCTGTAGATCTTCAAATCATCTCTAAATTGGTGCCGACACTGTCCTTCTTTCTGGAGGGTGGCTATTTTTTTTCACCATGGTCCCTGTGTGTGTTGTAAAGTAGCCACCACTCCAAGCTTGCTCCTGCGGTGGACAACAATCTCACATTTAGTTTACTAATTTGTAATGAGATTGTAGTCCATCACAGGAGTGAGCTTGGAGCGGTGGCTACTTTACAACACACACAGGGACCATGGTGAAAAAAAATAGCCACCCTCCAGAAAGAAGGACAGTGTCGGCACCAATTTAGAGATGATTTGAAGATCTACAGCCGAGAGATACTCAAATAAGATACATGTTTGTTAATAATTAGGGTACTTGAATGCATTTTTATGATTTAACTCCTGAGTTTAGCGTCACTTTAATGTTTTGTAAAATTCATAAAAAGAGTTGGTTTTAGAGGAAGATTAACACAAAAAACAAGGACAAGAGAGTGAGTAAAAAGCTTATAGGCATTATTGCTGTCAGAGAATACTGGAGGTTGAGTGTCAGAAAGTTAATAGATAATTATTAACTTTATAATACATGACATGATTATAATCAGTGTCATGTTTCTTTAACTATAGAAATCATGAGAAATGTATGTGCATAACCATTTTCATCCCACATTAATTCCCCACATCTATGATTAAACTGCTTCCAAGGTGAAATGAATCAAAAGGAAAATGAGCAGCATCAAAAGGAATGCATGATTGTTTTATGCATTGAACACAATGATAAACATTTAATTAAAGAAAAAGAAGGAGTTGGCGGAGGTGTGTCTTTGTTGCATTGTATACCAATGTTTTTGGTTGTACATGAAAGAATGCATTCACAGAAACTGATATGATTTAATAGGTTGCATGACACTGTGAACTAACTGTGGAAGCTGGAAACAGGCCAAAAATTGCAAACATGGTAATTAGGCTCAGCATTATCTCTATGACAGCCCAGCATATGTTTCCAATGTAATACAGCCCAGGGTGTAGTTATACTGTATTGCTGTATTCCAAACGCCATGAAGACACTATTAAATCATTTTTGTGGTTTAAAGAACTGTCAGAAAAGATGCTGATAAAGATCACATCCAGGAAAAAACCCAAGTGAAAATGGGATAAAATGACTGGACTCTTTACTGTGGTGCAGTTTGCTAGCTTCATTAATATGATGAGTAATTATAATGAGTTATGTTTATAAATGAATAAACTTGATTAAAAAATAAATTACATTTATATAGCATTGTGCTGTACCATATAAAATTACTAGACCCTGAATAAGAAATTTAAAATTACTATAAAACTTTTTTTACAAACATGCCTGTTAAGTTTTACTTGGAGATATATTTTCAAAGTGAAGAATGATTAAGGAATAATGGGCACATTTATAATGCAGTGAATGTGCAGTTCATCAAGTGAATCAATCACTGCAATTTAAAACACATGCACCAGGATGTTTGATGAATGTCACATTACCTGCTTTATAAAGAAAACAAAAATGTTTCTGCCATTTAACTACATCTATAAAACAACTTCATCATCCTTGTATTGCACCAGTCGATGCATATTCAACTCCCTTTGCCCAGCCATTGGATTTCCCATTCTTCCCTGGGAAATTCCAGTGTCTGTACCATTTGTTTTTAGAATATAGCTGTTAAATTCACTGACACCAAATTTTTTTCGCAGTTGATTCCTATACAGACCCTCCTTGCTCAACTCTGCCTCGTGTATTTCAAATGCAGATTGTAGCTGAAATCCTTATCTCATAATTCCACCATTTGCCCTTTGCAAAACTAAAACAACAAATAGTTTTATCCTATGTATAGTGGGATGAGATGCTGGTGAATGGCCAAAGAATGCAGCTGTGGATTCAACCATTATTATAAATATTCTTAAAAATGTATGTAGTGAAAGAACTTACCAATATCAGAGCATTGGACAACACGAAGGTGACACTGACAGCGGAATGGGCACATAGGTCCAACTGGCTCTATATCTTCTTTGATGTCAATACCAGATCCATCATCTTCGAGCATAAAATCAAATATACCTCTTTGGTGGAAGGGCTTGGAGTAGCAGAATGTGACAAACAAAGTGAGAATGATAGCTGCCCTCATATTGTCAGATCATTTATCACTATCAATATGAAGTAACCTGTAAGTACAATAAAAGAGTAATTGAAAGAGTGAGGCAAATGTGTATTTTGTAGTTTCATTCTAATGTAACATAGTGCTGGCATGACATTTGTAACATTTCACTAACTTAGCCATTCTAGGAAGCTTATACTGAGAGCACAAAAGCTGCAACTGCTGACCACCATCTCAAAATGGTAGTTTAGTGGCTTTCTCTGGTTTCATTACTTTGAAACTCTGATCTGGAATAAGCAAGAAAATCAAGCAAGCAAATATCTTGATTTTAGAGAGTAATTGTAAATCCACTGTGAGAATCACAGTTTGTCAATTATGTACAACTCTTTTGTAAAAAGAAAGTGACTTGACAACAGAAAGTAGGAAAAAGAATGTACTACCTTAAAATGTGGGGACAAAAGAAGTGATCTAAAAGTACTTACACATGTCAGTCTGGACCTCAGACAAACACATTTCCATATCCTAACTGTTTTTTATATGAGCAGATACTTAGCCTCAAAAAGCCTATTCAAGTACTAACTATCATCAAAAAAAGACCAAAACATCCCCTCTCCACAGATACATGTATAAGTGCAGCACTACATAGAAATGCATGATGTAGTTATTAGCCACATAGTTAGGAAGGGTATTTATGGATCTGTATTGGTTATATAGCATTGGACATCCTACATAAAGGGCACAAGACAGACTGCTTGATGCCATAGTGCCTTTTAGATTACACATTGGCTACAAAACACAACAAATATTGATGTACGGTGCACATTTCATTCATTCATTTTCAGTAACATCAAATCTTTGTCTTTTCATTATTTTGAACCAGATGTAAGTCAAGGCATTAAAGTGTACCTGTCAGACTTTTTAAACATTTAAAAAATAAAGCCCTATATTAGTTAAGAAATATTCTAATCCACAATGCAGTCTATTACCAAGTGCCCAACTTCTCTGACTTCACAGCTAAGCCCCATCCAATGGTACGCCCTGACCGCACATGATCCCATTATTCCTTTACAGTACCTCAGTGAACAATAAGTGAGTGGAATTTGGGTCGTGAAGGCTTAGCTCAAGAGGTAGAGTAACAGGTGGAAGGCCTGGGTTGGGACTTTAGTTTTAAATGTTTAAAAATTATAACAGGTTTATTGCTCAAATACTGTGGGGCATTTTGATGGGACTAGTTAGATTTAGCGATCCTTCAAGAATAGGGGAAAACATTTTGCATCCAAATGATGAGCAAAAAAGTTACACAGAATAAACTGATATAAAATGATATAGCTGGCAGATGAGAGTCCTTTAATTTAGCACTCTGTACTTTTTTAGAGACCCCAAGTCTCTAATTTATTATAAACTTTAATGAAAGGAAAATAACTGTTTCCATCCCTTACGGCTATGAGCAAAAACAAAAAGTCAAGGTAAACTAAGTAATGTTTTACATTTTCCCCTTCTTTAAAACCTTTTTTTTTTAGGTAGGAGCATAACAATATCAATTAACAGAGGTCTGTTGCTAAAAGGAATGTAAACAGTCACAGTGATCTGTCATTTGACACTGTTATGCACACTTAGAGGCTTGCAGACATAGGTCAGAAAGTTGACAGGACAGCAAATGTCAAACTTTAGGAGACCTCCGATTCAAGTTGAATCATACCCAAACAAAGTAGATAAACTAAAAATGGAACTTGATTGCACAGTTACAAAGATTGCACAGTTACAATAGTTTAAGACTGAATATTCAGACTTCTACATATGACTAGTCATGACAGATTTTTTAAAACTGTTTATATTAATTGCTGCCTGAAGAAATAATTTTGCAGTGCATCAATGCTAGACCCAAAGAATTGTCTGGAATAACTCCAATTCCACCCTACCTTTTAGGTTTAACTTATGTTCTGGCAATATTCTTACACTAAACCAAATGTCTAGGGGTCTGCTGTAGTTTTTAGGCATTTTTCTTTTCTTATTTGGTTCTATGGGTCTCTGTACAGTATTACTCTTTGTACTGTTTACTTATTTGTAGGTAATGAAAGAAGTTTACATGGCCTTTAATTACTCATTGTTTCTGTGCACATTCCAAGTGCTAGAGGCAGACATTGAGGGATGATCTCAATGCAGATTAAACATATCAAATACTTTAGTGTATAGTCCAAAAGTTACAATATGTGGGCTATCACAATCATGCAAAATGTAGCAAAAAAGACACTGGAACCTTGCAGAGCTTTGCACTTCAACATGCTTAAGTGCCTCAAAGGTATATATATTTTTTAAAGTATTGAATAAATCTCCAGTGCACCAAAGCTGCATGGAGAAAGAGCCATAGTACCAACAGAAATTATATACATGAAATAATCTTTTTTATCAACCAAAAAAGAAATCGGAAAGCTTTTAGCTAACATATCTATCAGTAGGAATGAGCTTTGGCCTGTTTGCAGTTCGACAAAGCACAGAACAAACTAGTCATATTTGGTCAGTTCACTAGCCAGAATAATCAGCTTTGTAAATAAACTGGCCAGGAATCTCATTTAGTGGCAGTAGCATTACTGTCACTAAATGACAGATCTCTGTCCACCTTTGTGTAGATAAACAAACCAGCCAAGGTATGGTCATTACCATATTTGGTCAATGATGTCATCCATTTGTTTACAAACAGATACTGCCTAAGGATCTGTCATTTTGCAGTGGTAGAGAGGCAGGGAAAGATCGTTGGTCATTGTGGTAGAGTGACAAGATCATCGGGTGGGCAGTAGACATGTGCGATTCGTTTCGTTACGAATCGAAATTCGTACGAATTTTCCTGAAATTCGTAAATTCGGAAGCATCCGAAATCCGAATTGCAGTTTCCGAATTATATCCGAAATACGAAATTCCGTTTCTTTGAAACAGGAACTAATATTACCCCTGTAAATGAGGTTGAACAACATGACAAGATTTTTTTTTAAATCCGAAATACGGATCCGCTGCTGCTGAGGGTTGCATTACAATACACAGGCAGGAAATACGAAATTCCGTTGACGTATATTCGTTCCGTTACGAACATCCGTTATATTGAAGTTAAAAAGCAAAGTACATTTGTTAATATTTTGGAGTTGATGGTAGTTTTTTTTTCATCCGAAATACGAAATTCGTCTACGGAATCCGTTAACGGAATTCGTATTTCGTTTGGTTGACCAATCAGAGGTTTTCTCTTCTGCTGACAGTTGCATTACAATACAGTCAGGAAATACGAAATTCCGTTCGTTATAGTGAAGTTAAAAAGCAAAGTACATTTATATTGGAGTTGATGGTAGTTTTTTTTAATACGAAATACGAAATTCGGATCCGGAATCCCTTAACGGAATTCGTATTTCGTTTGGTTGACCAATCAGAGGTTTTCTCTTCTGCTGACAGTTGCATTACAATACAGTCAGGAAATACGAAATTCCGTTCGTTATAGTGAAGTTAAAAAGCAAAGTACATTTATATTGGAGTTGATGGTAGTTTTTTTTAATACGAAATACGAAATAACGGATATTCTGAAACGGAACGAAACGGAACAAATTTTTTGACGGCGCACAAGTCTAGTGGGCAGGTGATTGTGAATGAAGCTGCATTAACATTGCTGGATGACGTGATTGACAATCAATTTACATCTTGAGACACTGTTTCCTTTTTATTTTGTATTGTAATCAATGACTTTGTCTAAAGTGGTGTGTTGTTTATTAACTTTACATTTTAGGGGAAATTAGTTATAAGGGATACTAATGTAGCCTCTACTCTTGGGGCAGGGGGCTCGATATCTGGGGGGCCCTCCTATTACAAAGCGAGCTTCCAGATTTTGGTTAATCCTGCTTGCAAACCCATATGTCCTCTTTGGGACCAGATGTTGGGGTGAGGGCTTTATCCCATAAGCTTAGGGACAAGGTGACTTGCAAGGCTGTTAAAGATATGTTGGCTGGTTTGGTTCAGAAAGGGGGCCAAATGCACCACCACCCTTCCTTTCCTGGCTGTCAAGGCTGGGAATAAGAGCCTTATTCTCACATCCAGTACCTAAGAGGATGTGGAAGTTTGCTTTCAATGGGACTTATTGGAATCTGGAAGCTCCCCTTACAAGGTGACCCCAGATAATCCACTCCACAACTAGGGGAATAGGTATGGGGTATAACAATACCCCTCATTCCCAAAAGAAGGTAAAATGTAAATAAAGATATTCACACCATGATAAAGTCCTTTATTGCTAAAAAAAGAGGTAAACAATGTCCCACTATGCAAATTCATCATCCATGATCTCGCCCCACCACACTGCCCCCATAAAATGATAGAATGACGGATCCAGGGAGTGCAGCAGGGCAACATCGCGGGAAGCTGGAGAGTGTAAGGGGGGACAGAGGGGAGGTGTGGAAACATCATCAGGCAGTGGGAAAACATCACATGGGTGTCAGGACTTACATTACTGAACAACAAGATTTAAGATGCATTCACATTGGGGGATATTGGTTTTTTTTTTTGTATTTTCAATAAAGGACTTTTTTCACATTGTCAGTATGTATTTTATTTACATTTAACTATTTGTGGGAATGTATGAGGGGTATCAATGTGAACCTGTACTCCTTTCCCTGAAGAAGTGGTGAATATCTGGGGGCCTCTTCATTCTAAAGGGGGCTTCCAGACTCCTACAATTCCCCCACAAACTCCCACATTCCCTTTTGGACTAGATGTGGGGAAGAGGTCCTTGTCCAGTCAATATTGGGACAACATGCCTTGCAAGTGGGGGAGACTTTGACAGCCCCTTGCACAGTAGTCTCCTAATGTTGACAGGCATGTGGACTAGTATGGTTCAGGAAGAGGGGCACATTTTGCTGCCTTCTCTTTTCTGACCCAGGCTGCATGCATGAATAAGGGTCTGCGTTGAATTTTAGGGGACACACCATTTTCCCATTCCCTCCTTTGTCCCCACTTGCCACTAACCCCCTTTTTTAAAGTGACAGTACACATCTTTAAATAATTGCCATGGGGTTCCCTGTACAATTCAAGCCAGACCTA